TGAGGGAGCTCACCGGACTTGGGGAAGGTGGCCACCACGATGTCCTCGGGGCGGCTCTGGAAGGCGTCCACGCGCTCCCAGCCGGGCACGAAGGCGCTCACCATGGGGATGCCGTGCACCATGCGGAAGGGCTGCCGCAGGCAGGTGTCCGCCGCCGCCATCGCGACGGGGCTGCCAAGGGGCGCTGGGCAGGCTGGACCTTTCCTTGCGGAGCTGGAGCAGCAGTGGGAAGCAGCTGGGAGCCTTTGGACAGGCTGAGCACCTGCCTTCTTTCCCCCCAACTCCTCTATATCGCTTTCCGATTGCACCTATTGCAGCTCGTTCACGAGCGGGGAGCGGGCGAGAGGGCAGCCCACAGGAACGCTTTAAATGCACTGCGGGTGGCTCAGGAAAGCAGAGCCACTCTGGGGGTTAGCGCCGAAAGCCGGCGCTCCTGGGGCACATTCCTATCTCTGGCTGTGATTTCTGGCCCGGCACTCTCAGAAAATGGAGTTTGCAAGGACTGCCTCGCAAAGGGAAAGCTGCGGAGCGGCGCCAAAGCCCAGCCTAGAGTGGGGAGGCGCCCAGCGTAGCCGGGTTTAAATGCTGCACAGAAGGGACAAGGGGCCGGCGGGCACCCCGGAGAGGGGTCAGACCCGCCGGAGACGGTGGCAGCCGCAGCCCGGCTTTGGCTCGAGGTGGTTGCAAGGAGCCCTTTGCCGCCTTGCCCGGGGCCAGCGACCGACCACGCTCCGGGTCTGTAGCAAGTCCATGAGTAACCGGCGCGCGTCTCCCCCGCCGCTGGGGCCACCCTGTTACCTGGCTCCGGTGCCCGCCGGACTCACTGCTGTGGGGCAGGAGGGAAAAGCTCGGCCCCGAGCAGCAGAGAAGAGGATTTATTGCCCCCCTCCCTCCCAACACCCCGCCTCTGTGTGTGGAAAATGGAGGCACGGGGAGGCGCCTGGGGCCGCCGGAGGCCAGGGCCCTCCTCCGGGAAGGGAGCGGGAGCAACTTGGACCCGCGGCTATGGAGGGAGGAGCGCGGCGGAGAGCAGCGGGCGGCTCCCAGCCCCCTGCCTGTACTGAGCTGTGCAGTGCTCAGCAGCCCCCCGCGGCGCCAAGGCCGGGCTGCAGCACTGGCCAGGGCAGGGGCTCTGCGTGGCGGCTGCCAGCGGGACATGGCGGGGGGCGGGTCAGATCTGGGGCCCGGCGGCCAAACCAGCCCCCCGCCCGGCGCAAAGGGCCAAAGTTCAGGCACTGCCGGGCTGCAAAATGAGATTGTCTCCCTGGCGAGGGGGGTTAAAGGTGGCAGTGATTAAACCTGCCCCCTTATCTCCCTTCAGGAGGAAAAACCAGCGAGGACGAAGCAGGAGCCCCCAAGTAGGGGCTGGGCATGGAGAACAGCTCACCCCCCAGCCCTTGTCTGCCCCACATTGCTCCTCTTTTGCAGGGTCTCTGCTATGTGGGGCAAGGGGACATCCAAAGGGCACCTCCTCGTTTCACGGATTTTCTCCAGCTCATTCTCAGCATCGAGGAACAGGGAGGCGTCACAGCCTGTCCCCAGCTCCTGGTGTGGCTTTTCTTCTTAGACATACATTGGGCTGAGGGGAAATGGGAGCATTCGGGGTCCCCCCTGTTTCACTTTGAGCCCCCACTTGCACAACAGCACCTGGAAAAATCCCTGCAATTGCGGCGTGCGGGCGGCTCGCATGCAACAGCGGTGGGAACCGGGCTCGTGGAGGCAGCTTGCTGGGACACGCATTCCCAGGGCCGCTCAGGGTTGGCATCCCACAGAAGCAAACCCTTGTGCAAACCCTGGGCTGGGCTCTTTGGGAAGAGCCCGCGCCGGGGGCCAGGGCTTGGCTTCGCAGGCCCAGGGCAGGATGAGCTCTCACGTGGGCATGAAGCAGCAATGAAAATTTCCCTCTGTGCCTGGAGACCTTGGGCCCGCTTTGCAAAAAGATTCACGGGTGTAAAAGCACCGGGGGTGTGGGAGGTGCAGGCACAGCACGGTCACCAGCACCTCGTGGATGCTCGGGGTTTTTCCACTGATTGCTGGAGCTCGGCTGCCTCCAGCACCACCCTGGGCTTTGCAGGTGAGGGGGCAGTGCCCGAGAGTGACTTTTGCCGTAGGAAAATTTTGTTCTTGAGTTTCCGAGCGACCCAGGGGGCTTTGGCAATTTCTGGTGCTCCAGGTCAGGCTGAGCATCACTGCAAGCTGCCGAAGGACAGAGCCTTTGGCTACTAAACTTGTGCAGCTTTATGCAAGTGTAACCCAAGCTCTCGGGTTACACTCCCAAGTGTAACTCCCACGTGTCCCAAGCTGGGACAACTGCACCTTTCGCCCCGGGGCAGCCGAGCACGGGGGTCTATCGGCAGCTGGGGGAGCTGCGGGTGCCAGGGCTGCTCGCTGCTTTAGCCTCTGTCTGCAGACGGAAGCTCCCTCTCTCTCGCCGTCACCACCACGCTTTATTGCCAGAAGGGAAAACAAATCACTGCTCATTCTCAACATTGCACAAAATCGCGTGACACGGCAAGGTCAGAACCCAGATTTCGCCAGCAGGGACAGCCCTCATACAAACCCAGGATAGCTCCCCAGTGTGGTGAGGGACATGAATCCCAGTCTCCACCTCTGAAACCGGGAGCAGCAACACCCAGCACCACAGCAGGGGGGAAACCCACCTCTTATCCCCACGGAGAGGGGCCCATGACGTGCGGCAGCTCCTGGGACCCCCAGGCTGGGCCGCCCGGGGCCGCCGGTGGTTTCACAGTCCCCTCATATCTCCATGCGGAAGCAGAGTTCAGAGTCCTTCATCTGCTCTTTGTAGTGCTTGTTGAAGCGCTCGTTCTGGGCCACCGTGAAGTGGTTTTTCCAGTCCCCGGTGATCCCTGGGAGAGGCCGAGAGAATCAAGCAGCCGTTACCACAGGGCGCGCTGCGGTGGCAGCGCAGGGCGGCGGGAAGGGCAGCGCGCGGCACGGGCGCCCACCTTTCCGCATGAAGGGCGACAGGTTGTGGTCCATCACCCACTCCGGCAGGGTCTCGTAGTTGGCGGCAGAGTTCTTCTTCATCTCCTGGAAGGAGGTGTGGTGGACGATCTTCTCCACCAGGCTCTCAGGCAACTCCTTGCCCAGGAACCGGGCGACCTTCTGCACTTCGGGCCGGGGGTCCTGTGGAGGTGGGTGCCAGGGAGGCAGGTAAGCTGGCGGGGGCCAGGGTGCCCCCCAGCCTTTCTCCCCCAACCTGCCACCCTCCTCACCCTCACCTGCTTCATGTCCTCGTAGAAGAGGTAGAGGAGCCGCTTCTCCTTCCTCTTCTCCCACCAGTCCTTTACGTGGCTGTACCAGGACCCGTAGGCCACTGTGGGCCATCAGCATGGGAGGGAAGGCATATTTGGGGTTTAGTTGGGCCCTTGGATGCCAACCTGTGACCACCTTGTAGGGTGAGGGGGCTGCTGGGGACAGGATTTGTATCTGTTTGGCTCTCACCTTTCCCTGCCATGAAGTTCTGTAGAAACTCCTCCTTTGTGCCAGGGTCAGGGTGTATCTTCGCCATCTGGTAGAAGTAGTAGTAGGAGACGACCACGTCCTTGGGGTTGCGGGCAACGTAGATCACCTGGGGGCAAGCAACATAGATCGGGGGGGTGGCACACTCTGATGCCCCCCCATGGGGCGCCCTGGTCTGTGGCAACCCCCACCTTGCAGTCCTGCTCCCAGAAGGACTTGGGGAGCAGCTGGACGGGCAGGTGGGTCTTCACCAGGCGTGGTGAAGGCATCGTGGCCAGCAGCTCGATGCCTAGTGGGTGAGGGGGGTTAGCGGGGCGAACACTGCATGGGCTGCCCCAGCTTGACCCCAGCCCCACACACAGACACCGCCACGGGACCCACCGCCAGGCATATCGGGCACGCTCATCTCCAGGAAGGGCACCCGTTTGAAGATGGCATCCCGCTTGCATTTCTCCACGTTGCCATCATTGTAGATCATGTCCAAGATCTCGCTGAGCCACGTGGTGCCTGTAGCGCGACAGGAGGGATTCCCAGCCTCCAGCCCCCTGCGCCAGCCACCCTCCTGCCCTGTCCCATGCCCTCCGCGGCCACTCACCCGACTTGGGGTAGGTGCAGATGAGCAGGTCATCCGGCCGGGCTTGGAAAGCCTCCACTTGCGGCCAGGCCTCGATGAACGACTTGTAGAGGGGCATGCCATGGAGCATGCCCAGCTCTTGCCGGACAAAGTCTTCCCTGCCCATCCCGGCTCGCAGAGCTCCGCGCCCGCGCTCGCCCACAGAGGTGCTGGCCCGGGCTGAGGAGCTTCCTGCGGAAAACACGCCTCCCGGCAAAGTCCGCCCCGCGACACCGTGCGTCCCGCCCGCACCCAATGGGGAGGGAGCGCTGCGCCCAGCGCGTCCCAGTGGGCAAGTCACGGCAGCCTCGCTCCCACCGGCCCAGGCCAGTGCCAGCCCCAGCGGGGCACCCGCGGTCGCTGGATCCACGGCCCCGCTGCCTCCTGCTCCTGGCACACCCGCTCATTTTGGGTAATGATTAATGGACCCCCGTCTGCCTCTAGGTCTTCAGCTGTGTTCATGAGCTGACGAGCTGGTCAACGGCCACCCGTCCTACCCGGTGGCTGTCACTGTTTATATAACCAGGCTGGGGTTTCGGAGCGCTTCCACACCAAGGGCTGCAATGCCATGGAGGCTGGTGGTTACAGGTCCCCAGAAGGTGGGGAGTTTCCCAGATCCCTGGAAAACCAGGAACGTAGATTCTTGGAATCTAGGATTTGGGATTCCTAGAAAGCAGCTGGAGACAGAGGGCCCCTGGGGCAGACACACACGGCTGGGAAGCACAGAGGCACTCGCTGCTCCTGTGCTCCGGTCACAGAAGAGGAGCCAGCAGGGCAGGCAGGAGCAATGCCGGCCCCACAGCAGAAATAAATGGTCTTCGTTTCAACAGAGCCACCCAGAGCCCCAGTTTAGCATCTCAGCCCAACCCCAACGCCACGTGGACAACAAACAACGACTACCAGGCAGCAGGATTTGGCCGCCCCTGGCAGGGAAGCAGCTCTCTGCCTTTGCGCCGTTCCCCACGGGCGAGCAACGCTCGAAGAAGCCAAGAGGCAAACAGTGGTAGGGGCTGTTTATCCTTTTTATTATAAATTTAGTATGAATGACCAATGGAAAAGTCACAATGGAGTACCAAGAACGTTTATCAAAATTTTAGCAGCATTTAAACCGTAATAGATTCCCAAGCTCATCCTGCCACCCCTTTGCCCTTGCCTCCTCCCCAAGAAAGAGTAACCCAAACCCCAACGGGCTTTCCAAAGCGGTGCAGGGGACGTAGCTGGCCTCTTCCCAAGGAGGCCGCCCAAGCCGCTGGGAAGATTTCACCCCAAATGCTGGTTACCACCAGTCCCCATTCACCCGGGGCCAGAGCCCCGTCCCCTACTCACGACGGGGACCGGCAGCGTGCGAGGCTGCTGGTAGGGGTTAGCATGAGAAGCGCCCGGGCACGCGGCCCCAGCGGCCTCCTCCGTGTCCTCGCCGCAGCTCGGGTCACTTTGCTGAGCGTGGGGCTGCCCCTGCGCGGGCGGCACCGGTACCGCCGGGCGCGCGGAGCCGGCGCCGGCCCCTCTGCTCCTGCCCTCATCCCTCAGCGTCGGCGCGCGGCTCCGACGCGGACCCTCCAATGCCACTCGGGTACCTGAGATTGCGTGGCTGTGACGTGCGGCATTAAAACAAACAGGGGAGACCGGTGAGGGTCCATCCTGACACGGGAACGGACCCTAGGACAGCGGGAGGCAAAGCCTTGTACGGGGAAGGTAGATGGTGAGCAGCGGGATGCTTCAAACCACAGAATGAAGCCCGTACACTCTAGGCAAACGTGGACAGTAGTGTTATGCCTACTAGGTAACAAGAACAAGTTGAACTAACTCCTCTTTTGTGTCTTTTTTTTTTTCTATTTTTTTTTAAGTTAACATGAAGACATGAACAGTACTTACTCTCCCAGCGTCGCTGGTGGCAGCGTAGTGAAAACAACTTTAAATTAGAGGTGGGGAAACACAACACACGCCCACACGTGTAGACAACAACATAATATTGGCAAGCTATTCCCCTGCTTCTTTGGTACTTCCTAAACTTTCTTATCCAAAATATATAAGGGAAATGCACCATTTAAAAGTTACCGTTTGTAAGTATTTACAAAGCCATAACCATTATGCTATGATACACAAAGTTCAATATGATATGAACAGAGTTATTTTATGAAAAGCACTTCTGCACATTTTGTTCCAGTATCTTAATAGCTTTAAAAAAATTCATGTGTTACGCAGTCCTGTACCTCGCTTCTTCTTATATCAAATGGACAAGAAACATTTCCTAATCCATACTCTTCTTCAAAAGATTAAAAAATTGCCACCAAAATGATACACTATTTACAAATTTTACTAAATATTAAATCCTAGGCAATTATCTTCACCCCACTGATAATATAACTTAGGCATTGTTACCTACTATATGCATATATATTTCTTTAATACATAAGAAATGGCACCACATCACCATGTCACCAAGATGACACATTGTTATGTACAGTAGATAAGAAGTTAGATGCGGAAGATGAATCCCGGGCGAGCGGCCCCGGCCCGGGAGCGCTGCCGCTGCGGGCGGCCGCGCGCCGTCCCCGCGCGACGCGGCGCTCACACGAAGGGCAGCACGCCGTACACGAGCAGCGCCATCACGCCGGCGCTGAACAGCCCGGCCACCGGCACCGTCACAAACCACGCCAGGAAGATGTTGCGGAAGAGGCGCCAGTCGACGGCCTTCTTGGAGCGTATCCAGCCGACGGCCACCACGGAGCCCACCTGGGCGGCGCGGGGGAGAAAGGGCAGGCGTGAGGCGCGCGGCGCGACCCGCGGCGCCCGCCCCGGCCAGGCCAATGCCAGTCAGCTGATACGCAGCGGCGCTGCCACTAACCGGGGCGCTCAGGGAACGCGGCCTCCGCGGGCCGGGAGGCCGGCATTCCCACCTGGCTTCATCCCTCTGTTCCACCACGGTCCCTACGTGTCCTACCAACCCACCCCAATGCCCTGGGGTTGACTCGGTCCTACCAAGCCACCCCAATGCCCTGGGGAGGACTCGGTCCTACCAAGCCACCCCAATGCCCTGGGGAGGACTCGGTCCTACCAAGCCACCCCACTGCCTTGGGGAGGACTCACTGGCAGGGCGGTTGGGAGGATCCATGTGCTCGGCCGGGGAACAGGGGAGCCCCAGGACTTTTCCTGCAGGCATTGCCACGGCAGCTCAAAGGCGAGACGCTGCGCGGCAATGGCCAGGCTACAACCTAACTGCCTTTTCCAGGGGAAAGAAGCGGGGAATTTCCAGGGCTTTTCACTTACTGACCTCAGAGGTAAAGCCAGCATATGAGTTCTTAGGAAAGAATGGCTGGGAAAAGCTTTGGCAGGGAAAAAAAATGCAAAAAAATAAAGGGAAGGGGGAAATGAAAACACTGCACTGTCTACCCTGGAAGTGGCATTTTGTGCCATTAGCCAAAAAAAAAAAAAAAGCACATCCACAAAAAGTGAGGCAGAAATCAGGGCAGCTCCAACCCAGCAAGGGCAGGAGCAGCAGGAACCGCAGCAGGAAGCTGCCGCTTGGACGGGGTGAAACTGTCCAAGCTGGGGCTCCTCTTCTCGGGGGGAATTTCGGTTCCTGCCTGCCCGTTAGAGGACAGGCCGCTCTCGCCAGGAGCAAGTGACAGGACAGGGATATTTAATCCTCATCTTTTGTTGACACCTATTTAACTTCTGACTCCGCCCGGGAGATTTCGTTTAAGGAAAAGGGGCTCTTTGTTGGAGTCTCTGTTGCTCAGAACAAGGGAACACTGAACTTGCTGTCCCTGTGAGGCTGGAAAGGGGAGCCCCAAACACCAGGACAGAGCAGCAGAGCCAACGCTTTGAAGGTTAACTTCAAAAGCAGGTCTAAGAACGGCCGTGAAACTACCCGACACACTGCGCTTTGCAGGCTCCCTGAAACCCGAGGGAATAAAACTGAGGGCTTCCTTCTTCCCTCCCCAAACCACGGGGCCATTCCACTTGACCCAGGATGGAAATCTGCTCGGTAATATTTAATCTACCTAAACCTTGAGCTGCCAGGAGGCTAAGCTGGGCATAGCAGGTGAAGGGCTAAGCCTGGCTCTGCACGGTGCGCAGCTCGCCACAAGAGCAAGAGGGGCCCCCTGTTTCTGAGCATCCCAAAGGAACCCCAGGGCACCCGGTCGGGCTCTTCCGCAGCTCCTTTGCCAGAGGCTGCTGTGGATTTGCACGGTTTTGGGCCCGCCTGATGTGCTGCAGCAAAGGGAACTCACTGCTCCGCGGCAGGAAACCACTCCGAGCCCCTCCTGAAATTCCAGCTGTATCAGCGATGATGGCATTGGCAACGTGGCTCAAGTGTTACTGAAGTTTAGTTCATTAAACATGATTTGGATGGACTAAAGGTTAGGAGGGTGGCTAAAATTTCCGGGGGAAGGAACAACTAAAGCGCTCGCTCGCCTCTGAGATGAGATCTACTTAGAGCTGGGGCTGAATCTGGGGCTCAGGATTGCCTTCAGTGTGCCCCGCTTCGCCGCGCCGCTCCGGAAATGCTCCCGTGCAGGAACGTATCCGAATAAGATGCAGAAGATCTGAATTCCCTAATGGGCACACGGATACTCTTCACACCCCCCCAGAGTAATAACAACAGAACAGGGCTGACAGGGTGACCTCAGCAAAAGCCGTTTCTGCACTGGAAAACGTCTAACTCCTGCAGTCTAATTTGCTCCTGATGTGAACGTATTAAATCTACCGGCTACAGCTGATTTCTAGATCTCACATACTGGAATAAATAGCAGACCCTGTCCGGTAGGTTCAGTACTGATCATCTGTCCAGCCAGGAAGCTTTTGTGGGCTGCTTTAAACTAGGCTAAGATGAGTCTGAGACATCTTGCCCACGTACGTGGTGACACACGAGTGTGACACCTTTAATTTCGCAGTCACGTCTCCAAAACTTGTCTCTATCTGTTAGAGAAAAAGGAGCTGACAGTCCAAAAAACAGAATTACTCTTTTTTTTTTTTCCCCTCTGCAGGGGAAAATTTAATCCTATTAAAAAAAAAAAAAAAAAGTCACCTGACAAACTTGAAGCACATGACTAGTATCAAGGACATTTGGGTTGCATAATCTGTCCCTAAAGAAATGAAGGGGAAGGCCTTTCTTTTTGTTCAGCACAGCACCGAGAGCGGGCTTGCTGCCACGTGGTTTATGCTGCGCCTTGT